AGATGTTGTTGAAAGGAAAAAGAAAGAAAGAACGGATAAGAATGATAGAAGGACTTATACTTATCTTCACGCACAATCCCTAACGGGGTAGCCAGAAAGAATAGATCGCCAAGTGTCACGATCCTTACATACCTCTTTCGCTTCTTTCAGGTTCAATAACTTCTTCATACGTGCACATCTAGGTATCCGAGTACTCTTGAAACCTTCCCCTCTTCGAGCAATTTGCTCACATGGTCTTCGAAAGTTAGTCTCGGTCTACCTCGACGCCTTTTAATATTTAATTTCGCTCTATATATTTCTTCACCATTCGGTCTTCACTCATTCTCTCAATGTGCCCAAAGCTGAGACGCCCCTATCAATTTTTGTAATAAGGTCATTTTTCAATCCAATATGCCAGTATTGCGAATCTTTTCGTTTCGCTTTCGATCGGCTATGGTAACGCCACACATTTTACGAAGAGGTCGCATCTCCACTGCATTCAACTTGCTTTTATGCTTCTTCTGGACATACCCAGGTTTCGCTGCCATATAACAAAGTCGGTACCAACACTGCGTTATGTATTGCAAGGCGTGCACTCTTCACCACGCCTTGCCTTTTGACTAATGCATTCAGGGCACCATTGACTTTGTTTCCGGCAGCGACGCGCCTATCCACATCTAAATCACATCTTCCATCCCGGCTGAAAGCACTCCCCAAGTATACAATTTCATTTACCTGTTCTAGACATTCCTGATTTACCCATATTTCACATTTCGTTCTCTCTTCGTCCTTTTCAAATATCAGAACCTTAGTTTTATTAGCATTCAAACGGAGACCTTTAATTTCACATTCCTCTTTCATACATGTGGCTAATGCCTGCAGTTCTGCTTCTGATGGTGCAATAAGCACTGCATCATCAGCATACAGCAGACAATTTACTTTAATGTCACCCAATTTCACACCCAAAAAGCTATTTTTCAGCTTCTGCAAACAGCTCTCGAGATACAGTATGAACAGCCAGGAAGACATGATACAACCTTGTTTTACGCCCGCTTGGACGCTAAACATGGGTGACAGGTCATGCCCTACCCGCACACAGGCTTTACAGTCATAGTAAAGTGACTGCACAGCCCTTAGCAATCAACCATGCACACCATATCCTGGCAACAGTTGCCACATTTTCTTCCTTATAACCTTATCAAATGCTTTCTCCAGATCCACAAAAGCACAGAAAATCCTCTGGTTAACACTCAGAAGCTTTTCCGTGATCATGCGGAGAGAAAACATTTGATCCGTGCATCCTCTTCCAGGTCTAAATCCGCTAAATGATAGAAGGATATCTGATAATTTCCAGGCTAACATAAAAATGTTCTGGAAACTCGTAAGAACTGCCGGGGGAAATACAAAACAGCCTATAATGAATGCTATAAGAGACGAGAATGGATGTATTCTGAATGATGAAGTTTCGAATTTAAACAGATGGAAGGAATACTTTGAAAGCGTGTTTATGAGTGACGAGTCGTCTGAATTAAATGAACTAGAAATTCCGAAAGAAGTGGAAAGGGGCATGGAGATAAGTGTAGATGAGATAATGAAAGCAATGAAAAGCATGAAAGCAGGTAAGGCAGCTGGATATGATAGAGTATCACTCGAGATGCTAAGGGCTGGAGAGAGAGTGGTGGCAGGCCTGCTGTACACCTTGTTTAATTTATGTTGGGAATTAAAACGGGTACCGGATGACTGGTGTAAAGCAGTTATAGTACCAATATATAAAGGAAAAGGGTCACAGCAGGACTGCAAAAACTACCGTGGTATCAGCTTGCTTAGTATTGTGGGTAAACTGTATGCTAAGGTGATAATTGAAAGAGTTATGAAAAAAACTGATGGAAAAATTTGGGATGTGCAAGCGGGTTTTAGAAAGGGAATGGGGTGTACAGATCAAGTCTTTTCCATGCGCATTATTGCGGAGAAGTTTTTGGCAAAAAACCAGAAAGTTTTTTGTGCGTTCATGGACTTGGAAAAGGCTTATGACAGAGTGGAAAGGAATGTGTTATGGCAAACACTGAACTCATATGGGTTGAGCGCTGGTTTGATACAGGCATTAAGGTCTCTTTATAGGGACTCTAGTGCTTGTGTCAGGATCAATGGGGTCTACTCGGACTGGTTTGGCATCCAAAAAGGTGTCAGACAGGGCTGTGTAGCTTCCCCTTGGCTGTTCAACCTATTTATGTATTTGGTTGTGGTTTGTGTATTTGGGATGTGTATTTAGCAGGGATGGTAGATATGATAGGGATATAGAATGACAAGTAAATGCAGGGAATAGAGTGAATGGAGCACTACACTCTATTATGAAGAACCAGAATGTGTCAAAAAAGGCACGTATGGTAATTCATAATGCTGTGTTAGTCCCTACTTTAATGTATGGTAGTGAAAGCTGGGTGTGGCTGAAGAAGCACGAAAGTAGAATAAATGCTGTAGAAATGCAGGTTGAGAAGAGATCGAAACAGGGTGAGAAATTGCGTGATAAGAGATAAATGTGGTATGCAAGATGATGTTGTGACCCGGATTAAGAAAGGAATGCTTCGGTGGTTTGGTCATGTAGAAAGAATGAATGAGGAAAGAGTGAAAAAGCAAATTTATATGGCAGATGTGAACGGCCGGGTCGGGAAGGGACGCCCTAGAAAAAAGTTTATCGACCAAATTGGCGATATTTTGAAAATGGGCCACGTTAGAAGTACCCTTTACCAACGAGCATGTATGTGTAGATATATGAATGTGAAAGAGGTATGTCAAGATCATGCAAAATGGAAGTCCGTAGTCTCTGCCTACCCCTCTGTGTGACAGGCGTGAGTGTTTATGTTATTACGTTACAATTTTACATCCATACTTTGTAGATACTGTACTAAGCCAACAATTTTCATTAAAATCTGTGGACCGAATAAAATATTTTTCCCTTTTAAATTTCCCTTAGCTAGGCTTTATTACCCATAGGTAATATTTATTTCTATTTGATTTACACAAATATAAATATCTCAGAATTTCATATCAAGTGACTCGCATATCAGGTGGATTAGCCACCTTCATCAGCATCATGCATGTTTACACTTTACTGTTTTATCTCTATACCTCTTAAATAAATGACATGTAAAACTTTTTAAATAACTTCCTTACCAAAATTTTTGGTAAGCCTATGTCAGCGCTCAGTTGTGTGTAAGACGTAGTAGAAGAAAAGTGCTTACTTGTGTAGTTTGATCACCACCACCAACTTGATTCACTTTTGCGCCAACCTGAGGCTGTGTTCCCATAGGGCTGTGTTGTGAAGGGGAATTCTGTATCGAAGTCGTCTGGAGTTGCGGACTCTGAAGGGGATTGTTAACATATTGGACAGCACTTTGTGGATTTAGGCTACCAATAGAAGGCATGTTAGCACCTTGGCCAATGGTATTATTAGCCATGATGAATAAATTTGTTGCTTTTTATTAAAATAATTGATGAAATAAAATAATAGGAACAAGGTTATTAATATGTCCGTTTTTAAACAATTTTCAACAATTTAAATTTTTATTCTAGTTTTCAGTTTATACAAAGGTACTCTGTGATTCTAGTTTGGCAACTACCAACAAACCAACAATTATTTTATTACAGAACCATTGAAAAATTAACAATTCAATTGAGATTGATTTGACACTTGACATCACAGAAACTAATTACCACAGAGTACCTTTGTATAAACTGAAATAGAGACCAATCTTCGACCTATAAAATGGCAATGCATAACTAGCGCCTCTGGTATCCAAAGTTAGCAACTTTATTGTAATATCTATAAATGTAAGCTTATATATACGCACACGCCGTTTATATATATATATATATATATATATTTTTTGTAGCACCTACGTATAAATATTATTGTTCTCATCATAGATATTAATAATTAAAATCAAAATAAATAAAACTAACATTATATTTACAGGATTTATTAAAAAACAGCACACAAATACAATAATAGTTATGACGTACATTTATTCAACTTAAATATAGCAATTAATGAACAGCCTAAAACAAAGATAAGAACTAAATTTAAAACATTAAATAATGTAAATCTGCCCTCAACTTCTTATATTATAATATGTATTTAAAATGCGTCAAGAATAAAATTGAGATCGTTTGCAATTGAAATAAATTTGAAACCAATTGCTAAAACAATTCTACATTATTGCTCCATTAAATTGAGACGAAGATACTCGGCCGAATATGCGGCTAAATCACCGAATATTCGTTTAAATGGTACTAAAAATGTCCACTTGAATTGTACGAATTGAGTAATGTCATGTCTTTCATAATTTTACTATTGAAAGTATATTTTATTTATGGGTTAAGTCTACTTGAAATGTTATGTTTTCGAGGTACTTTAGATTTATTTCCGATTATAGCAAATAGAAAGTTTGATAAAATGTTTTTGGAATCAAACAAAGAAAACATTAAATTAAATTAGTACTTACTTAATAATTGGTTAGTTACAGAGGTGATCCCGTTGAATAATGTTCGGCCGAATATTCTGTTCGGTAAAAGTTTTACTGAACTTTCGGCCGAATATTCGTATTCGGTGACAACCATATTCGGCCTATATCAAATTAAAATCAAATCCAATCTTGAATATTTGTTTTTCTTAATCTTTTTAATTATTAAATTGAAATGATAGTAAAATTTAGGTCCTTTGGAATTGCGGCGATTTATAATTTTTGAAATGAATTTTAAACCAATTGCCAATCAAATAAGCAATTCTGCATATTGCTCCATTAAAATCGAATCGAATATTGACAAAAACAAATATTCAAGCAATAATATTTATATAATAATGAATATTTGAAAACAAATATTAAAGCAGTATGCTAGCAATGAAGACGTCTTAAACTCACATTATATAATGACTTATATCAAATAATTTAAAGCTCAAAATAAGTTATGCTTCTTTGCATTATTTCTAACACTTTTTTGAATAAAATATGTAATACAAAAAATTATGCGCTGTATGCCCTGTAGTGTAATAAGTCGTGACGGCGTAAGAGAACTGCCATTAACTGAGTCGAAAATATTATCCATAAAAGCAGCAGATCAGCATCTTCGTACTCTTCTCGAAGGATACCCTTTGTCTTTTTCTTGTCTCCCAATGCTCCTCCTTAAAATTAGAAATTAAAAAAAAATTATCAACCAGTTTTGTTTAAAAAACGAAAGAAAAGAAACAATTATTACAACACCCCACAAACATCATTAAGTATTTATAAGTGGTTGCGAATTGACTTTCCCGAATCTAATAATTTTAAATTTATTGACCAATAATTTAATGTAAATTTTGGTACCTATCTAAATTCTTTAAATTTGTTATTTTACGTTCATGCACAAAATAGTTCATAGGGTGCACTTTAATGCCATAGGGAATTCTATCAGTCAACTATTAAGCTAAACAGAGGAACATATAAGAGGTGGTGGAGCAATAATCAAGAAGGGCTTTTTTATAGGATAGGGTGACAAACGAGCACACAGTCCACCTGATGGTAAGTGGTTGCTGTGGCCCATAGACATCCACATCTATCCTCGATTACAAATAAAAATGCAGACGCGTTGTCACCCGTGAGGACTAAGATGAAATGCCTCGTTTCCAGTAAAAAGGGTCTCCGGTTCTCTACACTCACCATACGAAACAGTAGCATTAAGCTACTATTTTACGCTGGTATTCTGTGAGAGCGTGGTCCTTCCTGGACTACTGATATAACTGCAGCAAGGCTCTACCACGTAAAAAAGGGCTGATAAAATACTAGCAATGATATTATCATTACTAATATTCCCCTTAACCACCAGCTTAAAATGCTTGTGCTAGGGACGGTTCACGAGAGTAATCGAATAGCGGACTCGATTTCACGACCTTTTGAGCTCGCGGCCCGTACCCTGCCATTAGGCTAACGTAATGATACCAATGATTTCAAAATGAAGGATTCTTCATACAAAAAAAAGTAGCGCATCTGTCATAATACAAACGTTATAACACGACGTAACCAGGGTCGGATTTCGTAGTATAATTATCCTATTTATACCATTATTTCATAATGTGCAGTATGCAGTATCTTAATAATACTAGGCAAATTGCAATTCGTCATCGCACATGTGTAAACATTGTTTATGAGTCTTATCCTATCCATTTTTACCAGAAGCTTGATGACGGCAACAGCTTCTCTCAGTTTGTGTGTCGAAATGAAAACAGAATTTTAAAATATTTTATGAATACGATGTTCAGTTTCAATTATGTAGGTATCGTTTCTTTTGTTCTTTTCGTTTTACCCTTACTGAATATAAAACATATTAGGTATTAGGTAAGTTCTTAAGACAAAAATAAAACAGAAATAATAATAAAACCAAAAATCAAAACATATAAAATCACTAGCCACGTGACGTCAAAAATTTGGCAAAAAAAAAAAACAATAAAACGTCAAACTTGGTATAATTTTGGACAAATAGTATAACTTTATTTTCCCTGTACAAAATTAATTAAATTACACACTTCTGTAATTATCTTCCATGTTCATTTTGTATTTCTTTGATTTTTTATTAATTTATTTTTATAATATTCTTTTTTTCAGATTTTTAATAATTTTGTTACACATGTTTCTCATATAAGTACTTAATCTTTAGTTCTTCATTATCCGGTAACTTTTTAGTTTTCATATGTAGTTTATCTCTTTTCCTTACATATAAATATTGTCTATGTCAGAACAAATATGAAATATATATCATATTATCAAATATTAAATATAAATAGTTATCATCTCTCAATCAAAATAAATCATACCTAAAAACATTTCAGCCCTTTTCTTTATAACTACAGGATTAGTTGATATCACAGGATCTTGCATTGGAGTAACTGGATCTGAAACATTAGTTAATTTTCTTTCAGCAACATGCTTCACTTTTATAATTATTCCTTTGCTACTTTATATCATTGTAATACTTTTAGCCATGATTTTACACAGGCGTTTGTGACAAATGAGCACACAATCAAACTGATGGTAATTTGATGCTGTACCTATAGATATCTACATTTAAATTCAATTAAAAATTAAAATGCAGATGCGTTGCCACCCCTGAAGACTATGATAGAATACCTCATTTCCAGTAAAACCTAAACACCATACAAAACTCACCCGCATTAAGCAGCGTGGCTCTACCACATATAAGTTATAAGAACTTCATTAAAAACATTGAATTATAATTACAATCATAGAAACACATTAAATATACAGAGTAATTCAAAATTTTTGCATTATAAAAAAGTTTATATCTTATGTTCAAGAGCCGTGGTAGCTCAGATGGTTAGAGCTCGCTGTAAATTTCACAATACGCGAGCAAACCGAGTTCGATCCCCGCCGGCACCAATGAAATTGTTAATTGCAATTTTAAGTGCTGATTTACCACGTGCTCGGCGGTGAAGAAAAACATCATGATGAAACCTGCATGTCTGAGATATAAAAAAAAATTATTTCGAAGACATGTGAAGTTCGCCAACACGATTTATTTCGACGCATATTACGACGCATTGGGGCAGCGCGGCGGACTATTTCCTGCCCTAAAACCCTCTCAGAAATGAGTGGAGGCCTGTGCCCAGCAGTGGGACGTATATAGGCTGTAACTTTACTTTACTTTTTATGTTCATTAAATTGAAACTGTTAAAAAATGGCATCATAAGTCAGACTAACCAAGATTTTCTTTGTGAGAAGTATTTCCTTCCATTTTTGTGTATAATCGATGTACCGAACGTTCAGAGTAATGACCTGAAATGAAATTCATAAATCAATATCAAAAGAAGACAAGGAAAGATTTAAAGAAATAACCAAACTAAATATATCACTGTAGGTTAGGAGAAATGGGTGTTTCTCAGTGGATTGAATAGTAGATCCCACGACAATGTAGTGTTAAGTTTAGAGTATGTTTCCTCTAATTACCATCTTTACCAACATTACACGGCGACCCTGCCAGACAATGCGCTGCGACAATGCAAGTGCACTGTCGCAGTCTGAATAATTATTAAACTGTTAAATAAAAAAAAAGAATTTAACTGTAATTTACTGGAATTGACACAATTATACTGGATATGATGAAAAGGAAAATTAAGAGAGACCACATTCACAATCTAGCTTGTACACACCTGCATCTTGTAGAGGAATATAACATTTGATGGATGGTAAAAATTGATCAATCTTCTTCGGCGGCTTGTAATTTTTTAATGAAAGCTCCCTTCAAGATGTAACCAACCTTGTCTGTGACTCCTCCGAAATACGGCAGTACAGCAGGCGGGCGCTCGACTGTGGCCGGCTTCACTCGGCGCGGGACCCGAAGCTTGTTTGTCTTGCAACACTTGCTTGACATGCTGAAGCTCGGCGGCCATATGTTTTCTGTCACAGATCCCACGTGCTCTCTGAAACAAATATTTACACACGGTAGCTAACTTTTGGGAATTAAAAATAAGTTAAAATAGTTGATTAAACGCGATAAAATCCGTATATATAGTTTTTATTCAATGTGTAGTGTTCGCGTAAATTTAAGAAATCATTATGCTTCTTTGTATTATTTCTAACACATTTTTTTAAATAAAATAAATATTAGAAATAATAATGTGCTGTATTTTACTCTGTAATGTATGACGGGTAAGAGAATTCACTACTCAATATCATCCTGTGCATAGATTACTGTATATATGCTAGAGATTCCGTGTGACGTAAGAAGCGACAGAGATAAACTAAAACATGAGATGTGTAGCAGCCTCTTCAGAAAAAAAAAACGCTGCGGTTGCTAACCCGCCTGTTATACTGACAAATATTCCCATAATATCACCAATCTTTAGCAATGGACTTACGATTATAAAATGTGCTTAAAAATAAATTGATTAATATTGTAATAATGCATTCTTTTTCATAGTATCAAACCTATTTAGCAATGATATATCTGCTTATTATAAAAAATGTAAAAAAGTTATGATTCTTTATTCTTACTTTTATAACTCGGTAGTTCAATTAAAGCGTATCTATTATTACAAATCATTGATTAGTTTAAAACGAACGAATAAATAAAATTTGTAACAATAATTAAATATTTAACTCTTTTTGGTAAAAACAAGAGTAATTATTTCTTTCTTTTAAAAAGTTTACTTCTTAACTTTTTGGCTTTAATTTGGAAAAAGTTCTCATCATCATCTACTTCTTTTCTCCCAGTCAATATTCTATTAATATTTTTACAACTATTAAAAATCAGACAACGTATCACAATATTAATCAAATAATCAACTAATTTATTTTTATGCACATTACATTTCATAAAATCAAAATCAATTAAAGTATATATGCTTGTTTTTATAATTTCTTTTAGCTGATCATTTTCAAAATTGTCTTTTGAAATATGATTGATTATATCCTGCATATTTGAAATTGATTGAATCAAATCATTACTGGGAGTACAAAGCCATCGTCTACCCGCATATTCTCTGTATTTTATGTATTCTATTTCTTCTTCAGAAGTAAGGTCATATTTACAGTTAACACAATGTTTAAAAACTTGAGTTTTTGCTTTTTTTAAGAAATATCCACTAACATATTGTAATGGCGCAATTATACGGGGGGTTGTTTAGTTTCAATGTAATTGGTGTGAAGTTTATTTCTAAAATTTTTGTGAAATCAAAAGTGCAGGTTGACGATGCCTCTGAGTTTTCATTAACGATGAGAGTATGCAAGGCATTACAATAATCGAGCTCGCAGTTTTTACCATGAGTGTGGACACAAGTTAAATTATTAATCAAAAGTGTAGTAAAAGCTGACTCAAATTGGTCACAAGTTGGATTAATATTGCGGCACCCATGGCTTCTAACCGCACCAAAGAAATTTTCCAGTGGGTCCTGATTTAGATGACGCAACCACACTGATGTAATACCATGATCAATTTCCAATTTTTTTTAATAAAACTTCGATCCCTTCCAGTGTCCACACCCAATTTGTCACAGTTGGAATAGATTCTTCCCTCCCAGTGGAAGATATAAATTTCATAGACGCAAAAACTTTTTTTGGCATCCATCCATGTTTTGTGATGTATGGAGTGAGGTGTTGCAGCTCCAAGTAGAGGTTTAGCATGTCTTTTCTTTTTAAAACTGCCATTAATTGAGTCGAAAATATTATCCATGAAAAGCAGCAGATCAGCCGTGTCTTTGCACTCTTCTGGAAGTATGCCCTTATCTGTGAAACAAATGTTCATTTGGATTAACAAGAACAATAAAACATTCATACAAGATATATGAACTAAATACATTGACTATACCTGCTAGGTATCCCATATTTGATGATACAGTGCGACTGAAAATCTGTGAAGCATATTTGACTTTCATTTTGTTTAATTTTTCTGGGTTAATATGGGCTTCTGTTAGTTTTGGAATTAGTCGTATTCCTTTATACCCCGGATCTTCTTTGTATAAAAGTTGCAAATGAGACCATTTGGCGGTTTTGGTCACGCCATCTACGGTGAAATTTAAATTTTTGGTTAATAAATTATTTCTTATGCCTTTAAGAAGATGTGGAGGGTCATACAGAGGAATAATCTCAGTATTATTTATCAACATAATATTATCTTTAGGAGTTTCCCCTCTTCTCAAATAATTACCCCTAGTTTCATTCATCAAAAGTTTTATAGCCTGTCTATTATTTGTGCCTTGGTCGCATACTGTAGCCACCACAATTAATCCTGCTTTTTGTATCTCTGTTATTACTTCTTTTATTTGATTCGCTAATTCTGGTCCTTTTGTTGCACTTGACGAAAACGTATAAGACACAGCTTGTTTATAATTGTGGATCAGCCCACGAATCATGAAAACTTGGGCATGATCTGCATACTCTGGCTTTCGTTGCTGTCCATTATCAACAAACCCTATTACTTTATTTTTTCTCTCATTAAATGTAACATGAGCTTTCAACATCATTTCATCAAATAACAGAATACATAATTTTTGTTCTGTGTTCATAGTTTGTGCTTTATTTTTTAACTGGGAAAAAATATTTTTATTAAGTCCTGGTTGGAGATTACTCCTCTGTATGAGTTTAATGAGAGTTTGAGGGGCAGGCAAAATAAATATTTTTCTAAAAAACCGATATCCTTTGGGGCTTTGCTTGAATATTGACAAAGCAGCAATCTTCTCTGGCAGGGTAAATCGTCGTCCTTTTTCTTGTTTCTTATTTTCTCGCCACTGTAACTGCATTAAAATTTTCGCAGTACTGGAACAATTGTCTAAAACTTTTAAAACTGCAGGATTTGTTGCAAACTTTTTTGCTGCTTTTATTTGAGCTTTCTGTTTCGCAATTATATTTTTCATTTTACTGATTTTTATTTTAGATGCTATAATTTGCTTAAGCAGCTCTTTTTCAACCTTGGTCTGAAATACCCTTTTGGTCTTTTTCTTGACTGCTAATGTTCCTCCTTAAAAATTAGAAATAAATAAATATATCAACTGGTTTTGTTTAAGAAAGAAACATTTATTGCAACACGCCACAAACATCATTAAGTATTTATTAGTTGTGTTGCAAATTGACCTTCTTGAATCAAATATTTTTAAATTTAGTGACCAATACTTTAATGGCAATTTTTGTACCTATTTTCTAATGTAAAAAAAAGTAAAGTTACAGCCTATATATACGTCCCACTGCTGGGCTCTGGCCTCCCCCTCATTTCTGAGAGGGTTTAGGGCAAGGAAGTGTCCGCCGCGCTGCCCAAATGCGTGTTGACGAACTTCACATGTCTTCGAAATATTTTTTTTTCTTATTCCTCAGACATGCAGGTTTCTTCACGATGTTTTCCTTCACCGCCGAGCACGTGGTAAATCAGCACTTAAAATTGCAATTAACAATTTCATTGGTGCCGGCGGGGATCGAACCCGAGTTACTCCACTGAGCACCACAACAGCGTTAACCACTGAGCTACCACGGCTCTGGCTCTTGTCTAATGTAAATTCTTTAAATTAGTTAGGTATTTATTTTACGTTCATGCACAAAATAGTTCATATGGCGGATACCGGATTACAAACGCAAAAAAAAATAATACAAATAAATATTAAATATTATCTGTCAGAACAAATATCAAATATGATATATAAATATCTCTCTAACTCTCAATCAAAATAAACCATACCTAAAACCATTTCAGCCCTTTTCTTTATAACTACAGGATTTGTTGATATCACAGGTGCTTGCATCGCAGTAACCGGATCTGAAAAATTAGTTAATTTTCTTTCACTTCTATAATTATTCCTTTGCTACTTTATATTAATGTAATAGTTTAGCCACGATTTTACACAGGCGCTTGTGACAAATGAGCACACAATCGACCTGATGGTAAGTGGATGTTGTAGCCCATAGACATCTACATTTATCCTTAATTAAAAAATCAAAATGCAATGTCGTTGTCAAATTGTTGTTGTGCGTAGGACTAAGATGGAATGCCTCATTTCCAGTAAAAAAGGGGACTCCTGGGATGATAATATCTCATATAATAGTTCGATCCTATACCTATCAATTTTGTAAACGCGTCCTTAAAAATCTTGATTATGAAGATGTAGAAAACATGTTAAATGGTTTATGGTAAACACACACACACAAACACGCAAGCGCGTGCAAACATGCACACATGCGTACACGCACAAACTCATACACACACTCACACACGCACACTGCCGCACACACACGCATACACATGCGTTCACACGAACACACATGAACGCACGTACACCCACACGCACACATAAACTCACACACCCACATGCGCAAGCACATGCTCACATCCGCGCGCACACACACACACACACACACACACAAACACGCACTCAGGCGAATACCTTGTCGTTGTCGAGTTATTCGTCAAAAAAGTCGTTTATTTCGACCATAAGGATCATAGATGTTAGTAATAATACAAATCTTAAAACTAATTTTAGTTAAACTTGAAACTATTAACTTAATTTTAAAACTATTTATTTAAAACTATATTTAAGACAGGTCCAATTAGTCAGCACGTACACCATATGACAATGGTTCAGGTAATGACCTCAAACCTGTCAGAAAATGCCCTCAGGATACCATTAGAACTGGCCCGCACCCTACGCACCAGGGATGTGCATCGTTTACGCATGGTGGTGTAGAAACAATCCACACGCGCATCCGCAAACAAACCCGGCGCATTACAGTAACGAGGCAGACCCAACAGCACCCTGAATGCTTTATTGTATTGAACACGCATTTAATCTGTAGCTTGTACCGCCAAAGATACGAAACGGCAACGTCGCGGCTGCTTTCAGCCAATCCGATCGTTTGTCTTATCATTTTCTGTGCTCTGATTGGCTCATTTAAATCGGATCAACATTTTCCGTAACCATCGCAAGGTGGATTTGTATATCGGATCAACTTCGGCAAACAACACGCACACATATATATATATATATATATATATATATATATATATATATACACATATATATATATATATATATATATATATATATATATATATATATATATATATATTTGTATTATAATAAAAGTTTATATCTTATGTTCAATAAATTGAAACTGTTATCAAAAGATAAATGCCATCAAAATTCTGACTGACCAAGATTTTCTTTGTGAGATGTATTTCCTTCCATTTTTGTATGTAATTGATGTACCGAGCATTCAGAGTAATGATCTGAAACGAAATTCATAATTCAAAAGAAGAAAAGATTTAAAGAACCAAAATAAATATATCACTAGGGGTTAGGAGAAATGGGTGTTTCTCAGTGGATTGAGTGTAACTCCCACAACAATACAGTGTTAAGTTTAGAATATGAGTTGTTTAATTAAAGTAATAGACGGATCAATGTGTCTCCTCTCGTTAACATCTTTACCAACATTACATGGCGACCCTGCCAGGCAATGCGCTGCAAATATTCAAGTGCACAGTCACAGCTGCATAGTTATTTAATTGTTAAATTGAAAAAGAATTTAACTGTAATTTACTTTGTGCAGTATACAGGTTATTGTTTAAAGAGTAGCTAAATTTTAAATTAAGTTCAAATATATAAATGATAAACCATTATTGCAGTTTTTGTAAATATGAGCAAGTAAGGCTTCTAATTTTATTTGCATCTATCCCAAATTGAACGTGATTTATGGGACACCATGTTTTTGTCTACAGATTGACCCTTATAAATGAGTGCGTGCACAGTAATATCAGTTAAAATAATGCATTACCACGCTTTTTGAATTTAAAAGATAAAAACAGAGGGGTGTTATAAATTAAACATTTGTATCTGTGTGTCCGTCTAAAGCATCATAGTGGCCAAACAGATGGAATATAATTTAGCTTTTTTTGTTGACAGGTGACTTGATCAAGAGATAAGCCGTTCAGCCATCTGAAGGCAATCATCTCAGATTGACCCTTATAAATGAGTGCGTGCACAGTAATATCAGTTAAAATAATGCATTACCACGCTTTTTGAATTTAAAAGATAAAAACAGAGGGGTGTTATAAATTAAACATTTGTATCTGTGTGTCCGTCTAAAGCATCATAGTGGCCAAACAGATGGAATATAATTTAGCTTTTTTTGTTGACAGGTGACTTGATCAAGAGATAAGCCGTTCAGCCATCTGAAGGCAATCATCTCTTTTATTAGTTTTGAGGTTTATTAAAATTTTATTAAAGTTATTTAACATGTACATAAGTTTTATAAATTTTATGTTAGATTATTCCATTATATTTGTAGAGATTTTATTGTGTTTAATTTTATGGATTTTTAGTTATCATATAACAATATATAGTATATATTTTAGACTCTTAGTTAAGTCAATCCAAATTTAGGAACTTCTGTATCATCTCAACCCTTTCTACTGGAAACTTCTTTCTTTTTTTTTAGTTAAATAAATTAACATTTTTTCATATGTATATTAAGTCCCCTTGAAAAGGTCACATACTATGTTCAGCTGTGGACTTGTGATGTGCTGTAATCATGATAATACATATATGATCATATATATCAGTACCTGTTGATGTTGACGGTTCTGCTAGGTTCAAAATTTCTTTCATGGGTTTTCTTTTCATAACTGCTGGTTTATTTGATAATGTAGCTAAAAGAAAATAATAGGATTAACTTTGAAATTATTTATATATATGGCAATAAAAAACAGGCCCAGTATCTGTGATGACTTGCAAAAAGTATAATTTCACAATATAATAATAATATATAACATTATTTAATGAAAAAAGTAGAAAAAGTGGGGTGATAAAACATTGCCAACTTAACATTTATGAAAACTAGGCTTAATTATCATATCCTCATCCTTCTGTCAACCGGAATCGCTACATGTATTATCCTTTTAAGCTCTATAGTGCATATAAGTAGTATTTCATTTTATTCTATTTATTTAATGAATGAATCATTGTAAAAATTAATGCTATGTAGGTACCTACTCAATTAGACATATTTTACAATAAAACTATACATGTCATTGATAATATACTGTCCTGAATAATTCTATAACATATTTACTTTTTCTGTAATCTATAAAGACAAACCTGGCATATTCAAAGTTGGCACAGCAATGTTACTAATTCTGTTATTTCTGCATTGAAATTTTTCTTCAAAATGTGAGTGACACACACGGCGATACTTGAATATGTGCATATTTTCGAGGCCTAGTATATCACCGCCAATTGCATAAATCCATACCCTAAGTCGTTCACTTTCCTTTTCTGGGTTTGGAAATCTGTGAAGAACTAGCTTGCCTAAAATATTTACAAGATACATTTAAAAAAGTCATACTTATGTGTTAAAGCCTAAGACAAATAATGCCCTTGATGCAAGTTGTTTGGAGACGAGATGACTTACCCTTACTGTCTTTACATCCGGGGACACAGCAACGCTTATCTGACATAATTATTTAAATTATTTATTCTATGTAACAATGGAGACAAGATATCACAAAAAAACAAATCGTTGGAAATGAAGTTGTAAGAATAATAGGTAGCTCAATTCAACGTAAATAATATATTAGATAAAATAAAACAAAAAAAAATAACATAAAAACACTTTCATAAAATAGGAGCAACTCCACCAAATAAAATAAAATATTAGTTATTCGCAACTCCAATATCGAGAAACAAGTAGCGGGAAACGTGAATAAAACTATTCCATAATGGCAGGTTGTTGTGCTGCCAGATTCAGTTTCAAAAAAATATCAAAAACATCTAGTTACTGGATTTCTTAATGAATAGTTTTACGAAAGCATATGTAAGCAGTATTTATTTATAAGAAAATTTCAAAAATTTTCATTACAGATTTTATATTAATGTTAAACAAAAGCAAATATCTTAATTTCTGTTACACTTATTTTCTACTAAATAGAACTATTTTTTTTTAAAGATTTTGTAAAGCTACCTGATAGATGAGACATACTAGATGTCGCTACTATGTAGTGGCGACATCTAGTATGTGATGAAGATTATTCGCTTGAAATTTCGAACAGTGTCACCTATTATTGTAAGTTGGAATAAATACGATTTTATAATACGACTAAAATAAAAAGTAGTCAATAGATATGGTTTTAAATAGTTTACTAAGTGCGTCTTAATTTTGCATAATAGCATTTCGTAGGTTTCCAAGTTTTATGTTCTAAGATTGTAGAGCCTGCTAATTACCCTTCTTGACATTCAATGATTGTTGTTTTTATTATTCGCTCGAGATAGCATGCAAAGGAACGAAGCCATACAGCTTTGTCTTTTGTAATTTGAATATATAGAATTTTGAGGTGTAAAGGCCAGAACCAAGTCTTATTTTTCTTCTTTCCATCTCTTCAAAACCCATAAAGGCCGAAGCCAAGTCTTATTTACTTTAATTATTCATATTTCCAAAAACCATAAAGGCTAAAGCCAAGTCTTCTTTATATTATAATCTCAATATATATAGATTTATCAGTCCAATATTTACAAAAACAGGAATACCATATTTCATATTTCTTTTACAGTATTATGAATGAAATTGGAAAGTGCTAAATATGTCTTAGTATTCCTAAGAACATCACGCGGGACGCTTTCTGAGTTTTCATAAATTTGTATAAGTTTAGTTTATGTACGTGATATGGCCATGCTGTAGTTATATTAGTAGTATAGTTGTAGCACGAATGGGTCGGTTCGACCAGGAAAGGACCACGCTCTCACAGAATACCAGCGTGAAATGGTAGCTTGATGCTGCTGTGTTCCGTGTGGTGAGTGTAGAGAACCGGAGACCCTTTTTACTGGAAATGAGGTATTCCATCTTAGTCTTCACGGGTGACAACGCATCTGCATTTTGATTCATAATCGAAGATAAATGTTGATGTCTATGGGCCACAGCGACTACTTACTATCAGGTGGACTGTATGCTCGTTTGTTACCCTATCCTATAAAAAAAAAGTTTTTCAATAAGTAGCAATCTTTCAATGGCGTACGCTAGGCAGTTAAATATAATAAGTTCTGCAGTCTGATCTGCTTCTGTATCACAGAAGTTGTATGTTGCAGATGCTACTATTCTCATCCTGGAAAGATGAGCGTTCAGTCGATAATGGTCAAATCTAAGTCTGCACATTATTGTATAAAATTTTCTGCTATGATATCTCTCGTTGCGAGAAAACCAAGGAATACTTAATTCTGAATTAATTGATGCATACCAATGACCTTTTCCTGCCTCTAAAACACCATTGCATTTTCCATTCTTCTTTTATCTGTTGCTTTAAAATTGAATATAAATCTGTATGTGGTATTGCCACACCGGTTATGACATTCATGCTCTCTATATTCTATGCTCAAAGTATGCTATTGACATTCAATGACATTTGACGCTACAACAAGAAAACAAATGTAATTTTTTAGTTTAGTGATGTAGATAACTGATTATACGCAATCGATTATAATAAATAATCGTCAGTTATACTAGGCTGCACAAAAAGTATCGGGAATGGAATATTTCCACTGTTCCTGTCATATTAAAATCTTTTTAATTGAAAACTCCTTGGTTTTAAAAATCGAATACCATTTATGTATTTAAAAAAAGATCCTCTGTCTTGTCACAAGGTTTTGTCAAACTTGTTTAGTCGTTGAGAAAATGGAATTGACTCGAGAAAATTCAAGAGCGATGATTTATTAAGACTTTCGAAGTGGTTTAACACAAAAACAGTGTGTTGACCGGATGATTTCTGCATTTGGTGATAAAGCCCCATCCAAAACCACAATTTATCGCTGGTTTGCTGAATTTCAACGTGGACGTGTCAAGCTCAGTGATGATCCCCGTCAAGGTCGTCCAAAAACTGCAGTCACTCAAGAAAACGTTGATGCTGTATTGTGTTGATGCGTAAGCTGATTGAGGAAGATCGACATGTGACATACCGCGAAATTTAGGCAACTTTAGACATTGACATGAGTCAAATACAAATAATCTTGCATGAACAATTAGGTGTTAAAAAGTTGTTTTCCCGATGGGTACCGCATTCGCTCTGTGAAGAGCAAAAAGCGGCTCGCGTTACTTGGTGAGTCAGAACTCTCGAAAGATTCCACGCAGGATCCTCAAATGCTGTATGCAACATCGTATCAGGTGACGAATCCTGGATATACGCGTACGAACCCGAAACAAAAAACCAGTCACGAGTTTGGGTGTTCGAAAATGAGTTAAAGCCAACAAAAATTGTTCGTTCACGGAGTGTTGCAAAAAAAAAATGGTGGCCACGGTGTCTCCAAAACCGGCCATGTTACGACTATTCCTCTTGAGGAACAAAGAACGGTTAATGCAGAATGGTATGCTAGCATTTGTTTGACACAGGTCGTTTCTGAACTCCGTAAAGAGAACTGCAACCGCCGCATCATCCTCCATCACGACAATGCGAGTTCTCACACCGCGCACAGAACAAAAGAGTTTTTAGAGCAAGAAAACATAGAATTATTAGACCATCCGCCGTACAGCCCCGACCTAAGCCCTAATGATTTCTATACTTTCCCTAAAATAAAGAATAAATTGCGTGGACAGAGATTTTCATCACCTGAAGAAGCTGTGGACGCCTACAAAACGGCCATTTTGGAGACCCTAACTTCTGAATGGAATAGTTGCTTCAATGCTTCAATGATTGGTTCCATCGTATGGAAAAGTGTGTCAGATTTCGCGGAGAATACTTCGAAAAGCAATAAATACATTTTTAAATAGTAATGTTGTGTCACTTCCTTGATTCCTGAAATTTTCAGTGCCGCCCTCGTATTTACAGATAATTTACGGCGGTGTTCCAATATACACTGCAAGCACTGCTCAGTGCTCTCATTTGTGAAAAATTCGTTCCATTAAAAACTGCTATTATACTGCCGCAGTAGTCTGGGGAAATAAATTATGATGATGTGATTTAGTCTGAAAAGGACCCTCATTTCCTCGGACTTCGGAGTCCTTTTCACTCTAAGATTAGATACCCCCTAATTTTGAATATTAGAAAGTCTCTATACTACTGTCATAAAAAAGGGCTGAACGTTGTATTGGCTGGGATCCCTAGCCACTGCGGAATTCAGGGCAATAAAATTGCAGATAATTTAGCTAAAGATGCCACAAAATCTGGCTCTATCCCTAGACAATGCCTCTATGCACATGACCTCGTGCCAAATTCAAACTCCGGCCTTCTGTCTCTTCTTGGCAAAGTACTTGGTATCAGTCAAAATTTTTAATGTATTCACTATTCCAAAGTCCAAAGTAAAATCCCCTCAAAACCCTGGTTTTTTCAATATCGCCACTTTAGTAAAGCTACCACCTCTACTGTTTGCCGCCTACGCTTTGGTCATGCTTGTACTCCTGTACACTTGGCCAAACTCAGGATTAGGGATAGCTCAATCTGTGAATGTGGCCTAGATGAAGGATCTGTCAATCATCTGTTCTTTGAATGTCCTAAACTTTCTTTCTAGAGAGAAAGAGGGATGTTATTGGGCAGGATATCATAGAGAGCTATGATATCCTGCCCAATAACATCCCTCGTCCAGTAAATTTCCAATTTTTGCTGACCCTAGTGTATACTCCCTTCGTAAATATTTTATGTGCTTTTAGTCGTACTAATAATATTAAACTGTAAAATTACTTAACAACTTTGGTGATGGTATTTTAAATATGTGACGACTTTTGTTGTAGATTGTGAACCCACTCATAAAATTGAGAACTCTTATTTTAACTATTATTAACTCGTCACTTCCATGACTAACTTGAGACTGGTAGAATTCTATCAAGAGAAGCCATAACTTAAAAGAAGAATAATAATAATAATATCAAAAAACAAACTTACCACGAACTCGAACTCTACACCATCGAATTATATTAGATATAGTGCCCCTATTACACTACCCTGATTTTACGACCTTTCTCAGTCATGGGGATGTGAAAAAAGTATATATATATATATATTTATTGAATAGATATTTTTAAACACTATCAATATTATTGCGTGATTAATATCGATATATCGTCATGTTTTGTATGATGTAATAGGATAAGGGTCAAAATTTTGATACTGGACGTTTTGACGACGAAAA